AGAGTACTCAGAGGGGACAGATGAGCTGTTTGAACTGGAGAGAAAGGATGAGCTGTTATCTTTGGGTGAGAGCTGAGGGTGGGCAACCCACAAGACACCCAGAGAGGAACTTACCCACCACACACTGGCTTAGCCCTTACCCTCAGCTTGCCCCACAGCTCAGCTGGGCTGCAAATCCCCAGCTTCCTCCTGGGTTGCAGAATATGGTGGCATCACTCTGCAAGCAGCTGGCACCACAGAAGGCACTCTGGGATGTGGAAATCCCCCAGGCATGCCATCAGCCAGGCCCAAAGGGCTCTCCTGGATGCTCCTCCCTGCCAGCAGCCTCTGCTCATGTCTCCCTTTGCATCCACCCTCTGTTTGTGGGGTCCACAAAGGTGCCCATCTGTTCTGCCCTGACCACAGCTATGGGCCACAGAGGGATAAGAAAAAAAAAAAAATCCACTAATAAAAGCAGCAAAATAGGGAAGATCCAAGAAGGGAAGCACCATTGGCTCCTTATGACACATTGAGGTAGCATTGCAAAGCATGAATCCCACTGATGAAGGCTCGGTGTCCCCCGTGTCCCCATGCAGGTATCCCTCCCTCTTCTTCCCACACAACAGCTCTGCTACTGGCACATTCCTACACATTTCAGTTTCCCCATCATTCCCTAAAGAGCTTCCCAGCTTCTTCACAGCAAGAATTCCTTTCTCCCTACACCTATCTAGGAGCCAGGGAGTTGAAGCAAAGTGGTGCTGCAATAGCCCCTGGAGGCAGCAGTTATCTCCCAGGCAACAAACTGTGCCCAAACCATGTTCTGGCATCAACCACACACTCCCCCACCCCACAAAAAATGTTCTTCCCCTTCAAAGCACCATCCAGCCCTCCCAAGTGCTTCAAGCTCCTTGTTCCCAGCTCAGCACTCAGGAGGTCAAGACAAAAATACTGGAGTAGCATCTTCCCTGCTGAGACACATCCTGGCAAGCTTCAGGAAACATCAAATGCAGTCAGAAAGGAAGGCATCCCACAGAGCTGGGCAGAGCCCCCATATCCTGATCAAACTGAATATTACACCCACAACACGCAGTTCGGGGAATTTTAAAGCTACCCCTGGTGCTGAGAAAATCCAAGCATCACCAAGAGCATTGCTTGAAAATGCAGTAACGCGTTGTAGGGGCCCTGCAGGTGCCTCATGGGTGCCAGGATAGAGTGCTGTAGGTGGCAAGCACCTCATCACATATAGCAGGCCAAAACACAGCACTGTGCAAGATTCATTTCAGATCTCGTATTCTGGCTTCCCGTGTTAATGGCTCCACAGACGATAACAAAGCAAAAATCCCATCCTACAGAGTAAATAATTAGCTCTATCCCATGGTCAAATTTTCTGACTTGTTTTCATCCCCTGAGCTTTTTCATCCTCAAGATTCAGCCCCCTTTTCCCACAGGATTATTTGTATTTCAAACTCCATGGCACTGCAGAGACGTACAATTAGAGACACTGGTTTATCTGTTGCTCGTGCAGCAGCCATGCTCTGAAGCCCCTCTTCTGGACCAGGTCCTCGTTGTGCTGGGAAGCAAAGGGGTGTGTAGCATGTAAGAACACTGTCCTTTCTCCCCAGGAACAGAACACAGCTCACTTCTTAGTGGCACTCCAGATTCAGCTACATGCCAGATTAAAAAGACAAGAGCAGCAGTGCTTCCACTCACATCCATATGCCCACACACAACATCCCAGGGCACCACGTCCCAGCCAGGCACCAGAGCCCAGTGTGGGGACACCACTGCAGCAAGCCACCACAGCACCCAGTGTGAGCAGTGTCAGCCACCAGGCCCAACAATCCAGTTCCAAGGAGCAGCACAGCTGCTTTACAGAGAGGCTGATTTGTAGGTCAATTAAACAGCCATATTCTTTTGTGAAACACTTCAGGCTCGATAAATAGAGGGAGAGTAAAATTCCAGGAGGAGCAGATAATGAACTGAATGAATCGACATGACAGGTGCTGGATCCCTATCTTATTTATAGGAATTCATTAGAAGGATAAGGAGAAAGAGATCGTGATAACAAGATAAAGTGGCTCATGTTTGGAGAGGACTTTAGAAAAATACAAAGCCTTGTGGGCCTGTGGGGGATCATCGCTGTAAGCTTGCTACAAAGGGAAAAATATTTCCCTGGTGATATCCTGATAGAGAAACTATGCTGGACAAGGGGAGTGCCTGGGCACACGGGCCAAAGCAGGGAAGGTAGATAGCCCGGCAATTGCCCATTCTTCTCATACCTTTCCCAGGCAATTACTCAGCCCCTCGTGCTCTGCAGTTGCAAGGCCTAACCCTGGGCTCTTTTCAGCCTCCAGCTTTTCACATGTCAATGGAAGGTCCCTGCCTGCACCTTCTGCAAAGCCACTGAGGAAGAAGGAGGGCTAATTTTTCCAGCCCACCTCCTGGCTGGGCAGAGGTGAAAGATGTTTCTGTGAGTGCTGGCTCAGTGCTTCAGCCTCCAGGTGTCTCCAACGTGTCCTAGTGATCCCAAGCACACCAAACCACTTCAGAGCACTGCGTGCAATAAGCCTGACAACAGTCAGTGGAAAAGCCATTTCATGCAAATCTGACTCCTGGGACTGATATTCAGGTGATGCTTCACCCATGGGCCCCTTTGTCTAAAATGCTGGGGTTTTGTATCAAGCACAAGGCAGGATGCTTAAAGCATTGAGACTCAGCTCTTCAACCCAAAATCCACAAGCCTTACACCGATTTCAGCTCAGGAACCCTTAACCCAGCTGTTGGACAGCTGGCAAGCAGCTCCTGTAGCTGAGCAATGCTCAGAGAAGGTAATTCCCTGGTTATCCCCGCTGTCGCCCTGCAGCAGGAGCAGCCAGGTAAATCCTGACACCACACTGATATCCCCAGTGCTCATGAATATGGCTCTGAGCAGCTGTTTCCACTGCCTGCTCCAGCTCCCCAAAGCACTCAGACACACCAGAATAGCCCAGGCCCTGCACAGTGTAACCACTCTGTGGCAGTCACCTTGGGACAGCAAAAAGCAGAGCACAGCAATCTTGACAGCAACTTATCTTCAAGCCAGGAGCCTCGGGCCATTCACTAAGGAAGCTCCTTCCTGCAGCCAAGGTGGCAGGACTTGCAGAGCCAGCCCCACAGCTGATCTCAGGAACTCCAGGAGAACAATACAGCTGCAAAATAGGCTATGGAGGAGCGTATGGAGCAGATCCTGCCTGTTCCACTGTTGAATCCAGTGAGCATAAGTGAGGCTTTTTGTGAGCAAACCATGGAAATCCCTCACACCCTGCTCCACTCCTCATCTGTAAAGCAGGACTGGAAAACACAGCCACAAAGCTAAACCACAATCAGGTTAGGTGTAATAACCCCACTCAGGAAACTTGTCACCTTGTAAAAAAGTCCCTTTGAGTCTCTGGGACACCAAAAGTCCCTTATCCAAAGCAGAAGGAACTTGGAGATGTCACTCAGGACAGGAAAACACCCTGGTTTAGGCTGTGCTGAGGACAGTTCTTTGGACACCTCTTTTCTCTGCATGAAGCACATGTGCTTTCCCTTGCTCCCCGCAATCTGTCACCCTGCAAAATAAATTGCTACCCAGCTGCAAGCAGGCAATTCCCACCCCAGTTCATTTGCCTGGCCCTCTTCAGTACCAGCTGGTCCCAAATCTGAGCTCCTCTTTGACTTCTGCACAGCCACAGAGGTTTCCCTACCCGTCACAAGCTGCTGGCAAAGCCCTGCTCTGAAACAGGGACGTGTAACTCAGATCCCAGTCCCCCTGGGCCGAGACCAGGGAATGGGTCCAACAGGCCAAACAAAAGATGCACCGAGAGGAGTCAGCTTCTCCTGCCCATTTTCCACCCCAGGGGCCTGTGCAACCGATGGGAGCTTTCTGCCAACTTCCCTGGGTCCAGAAGGGCAGAAAGTGGCAAGGACTGGATGGGCTGTAGGCACCCATTTATCTTCCAAGGCAAGAAACTTATTGAGAGATGAGGTTTAGAGGCTGCATTAGGAATGAAAGACATCCCAAACTGACTGGAAAATACCTGGTGAAATAAACCCCATCAGGCCATCCTCCACATCTCAGCTGGAAACCAGCAGTCACAGTGAGCACAAGGGAGCCAAAGGCACCCAGGAGGCAGAATGTGAGTCCAGCACTGCCTAATTCCATCTCTAACCCATGCATCTGCTCAACTAAATATGAAAAGGTGAGAAGTGCCTCTCTTCAGCCCGGTCAGGGCCATCAGCATGGCACACCACCATCATCCAGAGATGGATCGCAGAGACCCATGGAGGGAAGCAGCAATTCCAGCCCCCAGGGAAGAGCACGGTGACCGCATGGCAGGGAATCTCAAAGCCAGCAGACAATGTAGCCGTCCTCCCGGGCTCAGCGCCGGCTGACAAACGGGAATAAGCCCAACTGAGCCATCCACCTCCCTGCCCTGGCAATTATACTCGGAGAGAAAGCTTCAAAGCACTATTGTGATCAATTAAATCGAAAAAAGAGCAGTGTCAGCTTGCAGCCCTGGGAGGATCCAGCCCTTTACTGATCTCTGAATTAAAAACGCGCATCACAGCGTGCACAACGTACAGTCCCTGCGGAGAAAAAAAGAAAAACCCTTTTTCTAGGCAGAAGCGTTCAGCACTCAGGAGACACAAAAAGCCACGTACTGAGACATCCCTTGCAGGGAGAGGGAAAAGCAGCGGCTCAGGTGAGTGTCACAGTACAGTTGTGCTCAGTTATTTCAGTTGGGAGCTCCTGGAAAAGCCATCAGTAAGTTCAAATCTGCTTTTCTCATCCAGCTTTAGGGGAGGAGAGGGAGGTTTATCTATTATCCTTCCTTCCAATGCATGGGGGTAAGGACGAAATTCCGCCGATTTAAAGGGACACGAAGATGGTCGGTGCGAAACGCGCTCCCTCTCCCCCGCGGCGCGCCCCGCCGCGCCCCGGGGCGCGGGCACATCCAGCGGGAGCCGGGAGCGGAGCCCGCGGGCAGGTGGGCGCTCACCTGATGAGGTTCTGCAGGCCCTGCTTGCTGGAGTTCCTCCTCAGGATCGCGCTGGTCATGGTGGCCGAGCCGCGGCGGGCAGGGTCCCGCTGCCGCCCCCTCCCCAGCGCCGCAGGCAGCCGCCCGGCACTGCGCGCTCCCGCGGCCCCCTCTCCGCCTTCAGGAAGTTCTGCAGCTGGTTTCCTTTTGTTTCTGCTAGCCCCCCCCTGCTCCACACCCCCGGCTCGTCTCCTCCACCTCCACCTCCTCCTCCTCCTCCCCCTCTGCCTCGTGGAAGTGTCACGGGAGAATCTCTGGGGGCGCAGCCGCCGCCGGGCCCCCCAGCACAAAGCCCGGCGCTCCCCTCTCCCCTGCCAGGGGGAATCTCTCCTGCCTTTAACTCTCCTCTCCCTCCTTCATCTTCTCTAGCCCCCTCCTCTCCCCCGCCCTTTTTTTTTCTTTTTTTTCCCTCTCCCTCTCTTTTTTCCCACCTTTCCCACCGTTTTTCTGATTACACAAAGCAACTAGGGAGCAGGCATCCAGGTTGGTAACTTGCAGTCGGTGGGCTGTAAATCACTGCTGCTCCATTCACAGCAGAAGTCTTGCGTGAAGGGCTCACCCCCAAACAGTCCCTGCACGTCGGAAGGTGAGCCAAGAGTCAGATTAACACGAAAGGGGCTTAGCACTGGGAAATGCCACACCAGAGGAAAACGTTCTCCTGGGATGGAGACAGCAGCAAGATTTTGGAGGAAGCCACAGAGCTGCAGCCCCTGCTTCTGCTCTCAGACATTGCCCCCTCACCAAGTCACCCGTGCCTCAGTTTTCCCAGCCATCAAACTGGCCAAGAGGCAAAAAAAATTGGCTAAATTTGTCTTGTCTCCATGAAACACTGATATTTCAGGAGATAAAAGAAGTGCATGAGTGTTTGATGAAGGACTAAGATTGCCACCTGCTAAAACAAAATGCCCATCTGCCACACATTCAGATGGTTGTTCTTCATGCTGCCTCCTCATGGGAGTAGTCTTGGGAGGAAAAAACAAAAGAGTCTTTCTCCCTAAACTGCATCTCCTGGTCCACATGTGCTTTTTGGGTGAAAAGAAAACCTCTACTATGCCAAACCAACAGGTGCCTGGACTTGTACCTAGCAAGTTCCAGCCCTGCCTTGTACTTGCACATTATGGTGGTCATGGCATGGCCTGCCCATGTTCCCCAAGGTTAGTGGGAATATTCCTCTGGCTGTCTGCAAAATGGGAGCAGTTGTGATGGAACCACTCTGCTGAGACCCTCACCTTCCTTCTGCTTTCATTCCCTCTCATCTCATTTACATGTGTCCTTTCTTCTGCAGAAATGTTTCTTGATGCCTCATAATCTGAAATGGGGAAGTTGCCCATAAAATACACCAAGAAATCTCAATTTAAAAAAAGGAAGTACCTGCCCTCCCTTCCACTGTCTCTTCATTTCAAAACAGCTTGTTTTTTTTTTTCCTGTGGGTATTTACTAAGCATCACCTAAGTGATTATGAACAACAAAATCCACAAAGTGCAGACATTGATGCTGGCCTCACTCTGTGGGCTGCTCAGATGATATCACACTGCATATTTTTCTTCCTAAATTCAGTGAGAAGATGCAAGAGATCCACCACAAAAGATCTCTTGCTGAAAAAAATGTTTGTTCCAGCCCTGCAAGTGCTTGCAGGAGTAATTAGGTTTAAGCATGTGAGCATTCCTATTGACTTCACCACAATTGGCCAGAGTTGAAATGAAGTGTGCACCTACAGGGTTTTGTTTTTGGAGAGAATGGGCCCAAACCTGCCACTGGCTCCCATGGTCCAAGCCAGGCAAGGAGGCAACTTGAAGGAGCCCTGTCAGGCAGAGATGTATCTCACATGGGCCAGCAGCAACCTCGGGCTGAATGAAATCACTGCAAGCATTCTTCACTCAGTCAGAGATGCCAGAGAATCCTCAGGGAGCTGAGGAGGGGCAAGGAGGAATGCAGTCTCTGTCACCGGGAGAAGGCAGGAGCCTCCTGGAGGTAACGGGAGGCTGCTACCTGTGGGAGGCGAAAAGTCTGTGTGTAAATGGGCAGAGGAAAAGCTGTTAATTCCCCCAGCAAGAGAGCCTTGGCTCCACACCGGGTTTGACTCCCCGAGGATGCCAGCATGAGCTCCTTGTCTTGAAAGCACTTGGCAGACTTCCACCCAGGTTCCAGCACTGACTGCCTCTCAGAGATGGGGCTTTCAATGAACAGGGCTGACAGAAGCCATGCTTGGATGATGAAATGCAGGACTGGGGAGAGGTCACGACATTAGCTCTTGCTGGTCTAAGGTGCTAAGATAATATGGAAACACCAGAAGAGAGGCAGTGAGGAAAGGGGTCCCTTAACTGCAACAGGCAGCAGGCTGAGCTCTGTGTTGCTCCCAGGGAGAGAAATTCCTGGTACTGAACTCTGTCTGGAAAAATCTTTCAAGGTGTCTGGGCCACTGAAACTCTGGAGAAGGCTTCCTGCCCTTCTCCTGGCTTTCATCTTTGAGAAAGATATTAGATATGACAAGAAAACTCATCCTTCCTCCAGCATAAGCAGGGTCCTGCAGGACCACAGCGGGAAGAGAACAGGGCAGGACCCACAGCTTGCAAGAAAGGGAATGGACAGAGTCATTATCCCCATCTCTGTGAGGCAGGGAGCATTTAAACCCACTATTCAAAAGCACAAAGGCCATGCCCACAGAGAAACCCCACAGCACTGCCTTAGAGTGCAGAGGCACCTTGGGTCTCCTCTCCTCTCCTGCCCCTCACTGCCACGTGCATCAGTCTGAGTCATGCCATGTGTCCAGGAGCAGTAAGGTCAGCATCAGTCCCACAGCTGCTTGGATCCTTTCACAGAAACAACCCCCCTGATCCCACCAGGAAGTGGGTAGGAGTACAGTGGACACAGGAAGAAAAAAAAAAACAAAAATTAATTCATCTGTTATTTTTTGGCACAGTTTAAGCTAGGAGAACCAGCATAAATCTCTGCAGAAAAACACCACCCCAGTAAAGGAACTGGAGCACACAGGAGCACATTGTGTGGCACTGGAGTTCCCCAAAGCTCTTCCCAGCAGCAGGGAAGGCAGAGAAGGTGAAATGCTGTCAGAGAGAGTGGGTCTGCCTCCATCACTGTGGGAAGGAGGGCTGGAGTCCCAGAGAGATAGGGCTGCACCAGTTCCCGTTAATTACACAATCATTCTGCTATGTAGCACTAGTTGCAAAATCCGCTGAAGGCTCACACATGGTCAAGGGGAAAAAAAAAAAAGAAAAAAAAAAAAAAAAAAAAAGAAAAAAAAAAAAAAAAAAAAAAAAAAAAAAAAAAAAGAAAGAAAGAAACAAAAATACCCTAGCCCTGCTAGTGAGCATACATCTCAATCTTTTCTCTCCAATACTGCTGGGATGTCGGCCACTGTCAGCATAAGACCCAAAGCACAGTCACTGCAAGGGCCAGTCCTTTACAAGTGCCACCATCTGCCAGCATGGTTTCCAGAGGTCCATGCCTGCATGTCAGTGGTGGGATCCCACCCTGAGAAGATATTCTCACAGGGACAGCCTCACATCTTCAGTAAGGACTAAGAGCTCTATCTCAGCTGGAGACCCTGTGCCTCCACCAGCCCCTAGGAATAGATGGGGGGTGGTCTCTGGTTTTCCTTTGAAATGATGCATCTTTCCCTCTGCCATCCCAAACCTCTCCCCCTATCCTGACATCCCAGCAGCCTCTCCTCACCAGGCACGTGCATCCACGACTTGGAAAGCAGCCTGGCTGGCATCAGCATTTGCCCAGCTCCCCAGGAGCCCCAGTTCAGGGAAAAGGGTACATTGGTACATCAGCTGCACAGATGGTGTGGTTTACATGCTGGCCTGTGGGGTAGGGTTTGCCCACCTCACCTGCACCCTGAATTCCCACTTAACTCAGTCCACCTTACTCTGCCAGCATTCACTTTCAGGCAGCCAAATCCAGAGACCAAGACAGGTAAACAAGAGATAATCCTGAGGAGACAGAGGACTAGGAGCCAAAAGCAGCACATTGTCTCCTTCCCACCAAACAGCTCTTTGCAAGCAGCAAAGTGTGCTGCCAGGAGGGCAGGGCGCCCCACCTCTGCAATTAGCTCAGGGGGCAGGGCAGGGAGTCTAGTCCCAGTGATGCTCCCCAGCAAGCCTTCCTCTGTCCTGGCATGAGTGAGGAGAGGATATTCCCAAGGCAATGCTCGACCCCATGGGTGTTCAGGGAGGGGCTGCTGTAGGCAGGAGCCAACTCTGTTGGCTCAGAGTTGTTGCCAGGCCAACGTGCTCAGAGGAGCACCATGAAAAAAATGTATAATTGTAGGTCTAAACAGCCAGCAAACACTGTGTTGTACTAAGTCTGAAATATTTGGCATGGGATCAGTGATGACTTTCTTCCTCTGATATCCAAAGAGGCAGAAATGAGAGGGAATCGGAAGCTGGGTCTAGAAGGAGCATCCTTCTTCCTCTACCCCACCACCACCTCTCACCCTCACATAGAATGGAAAACAGACACTCCCTGGGGAATTCAAGGGGTACATCCATAAACCTAAAATCACTAGGTTTCATAATGACGTTTGCTTAATTTATCAGTGAGAGGGGAAGGTGCAAGTCACAAGCCTTATAAGAGAAGATGCTTTTGCCCCAGGGGTGATAAACACAAGGACAAAGGATGGATTTAAAAAGCAGGGGAAGGAGAGAAGCATTACCAGGGCAGCCCAGCACAGTTAAAAGAGATCTGGGCTCCTGTTGCACCAAGGGCTGGGCAAACAGCAAGGACCACCTGAGCCACTGTGGTGAGCCACCCTCTCCAGGTTTCCCAGATCAGAGCCAAGGCCAAGTGACCCAGCCAAGCCCTGGAGGAGTGCAGCTGGTCCAGCATGTCGAGCCAGCAGCATTACTGATACTGTGCACTGCTATCTATATATTATGTTAAATCAACAAAGCCATTGGGAAAGAGACAGGAAGACAAAACAATGGCTGCAGATAAGACACTCCCATCCCACACAGGAGGGTCATTACAGGACAAGAGGAGAACTATTGGCCCTGAGGAGGCAGGCTTCATCTCTTAGGGATGCTTGTCTACCATGAGGCCAAGAAGCAGGACAAAGGACTCCAGCCAGGATGGATAAGATGCAGGCAGCTGCTGCCAAGAGATTGTCTTCCCCCAGCAGACACTGTAGGAAAAAAGCCTTTTTATAGCATCACATTGCTTCGTCATGAGTCTCTGCTGAATGAATGTGAATTTTGAATGTCTATTTAAAATCAATGGAGTGGTCTTTGCTTTGACTAGGTGGATTAGATGGACACTGGGCAGCTGAAGACACCTTCAGGCATCTCCCATGCCGGGTATAAGAGGTGCACTACCATTAAGGGAGGCACCACCTTTCTTCAGCAGGTGG